GTCTACAGACAATTGCAGGATGATTTTACTGCCAACACAGTATACCATTAAGATGAAAAGATCTAATGGCCAGTGGACTTTTGGGTGCTTTTTGAAAGAAGAAAAATGAGCATCAAGTTAACAGGTATTTATATTTATTTTGAAAGGTGAAAACATTTTAGAAGCAGTATTTCATAACAAGGTAAATTTTCATTAACAGTACTACTTAAATATATAACCTCAGCGTGAACCACTGTGCACTTATATATGTCTCTATATGTCAACATTTTTTATTTTAAAGAGAATAATAAAAAAGAACAATAGCAAAACACCAACAACATAGAAAAATACAAAACAAAGCAAAAACAGTAAAAATGATACAGAGTTTCAGAATAAAATGGTAGGAATTAACAGTGGCTGTTATATTACATATTGTTTTGTTTTTTTTATTTTTTTATTTTTTTCCGGTACTGGGAATCGAACTCACGACCTTGCGCTTGCTAGGCAGGCGCTGTGCCGCTGAGCTAAATCCCCAGCCCCTATATTACATATTATTATCTTCAACGAAGTTGCTCAGATTATTGGATGTAAGAATGCAAGATTGATCAAACCATTAAAGAGAATAAAAATAAAAATAAAAACAAAACCAAAAAAACCCATTAGAAATCATACAGAGTTTTACTAGACAGCATGGTAGGAATTCACCAGTGGTTGTTATATTGTATATTGTCTTCAAATTAGTTGTTTAGATTACCAGATTAAGCATGCAAAATTGGTCAAAAAGAAAAAAAAATAGGCATTAATTATTCCTTTTAATAAACCACTAGACTTCAGCAGTGCAGTTATCCTATCTATCTATCTACCTATGGAAAAAATGGGTATTTATGTATGATTCTTTGTTACAAATATTCACTTTACTTAATTGCAAAAGTTTATTAATATAAATCTATAACGGTTCCCACTATCCTCTATTTAATTAATAAAGTTCTGTTGCTCCAACTGAATGATTGAGCTGCCTGACAATTTTAAATCTGAGGGGTTATTATTCATCAGTCATGCAGTTTCATCACAGTTGTGGTTGAAGGGCTTGCAGGTAGAGATCAGTGTCTCTTTCCCTTGACGTCTGCACATGAAGTTTCTTGGGAATGCTCTCTCCTCTCTTCCACTCTGCCTGACATGAGTCAGCAAATGCCGTGCAGATTCCCTTGAAGTATTTACTCCAGGAAGAAGGAGGTCAACGGTTTGCTGCTGACCCAAACTCCATCAGCTTTGGAGATGGCGCCACCCCGGGCACCCTGCGATGGGACCTGTCATAATTCCAGGGCCTGGCAAACTGGTTCCACCTGATTAGATGCACTTCCCAGGCCTTCATCCACTCATGCATCCGTTCCTGAAGTTGCTCCAGCTGACCTACAGATTGTTCTGTCAAAGGCAGAGGTGTGACATGGAAAACCTCTCACTCCGAGGACGGTGTGGAATGGCTGTGACTACAAGGAGGGACCAAAGGGCCCACTGCCAGTGGGGTTAAAGCATTTTGGGAGGCAAACCCAGGAATCACAGAGCAAAGGGAGGCAGTGAGGGATGACGGGGTCATGGGGGCCCTGGCATTGGAAGTACCAGGAGCGGCGGCAGGCGGGGGGCAGTTTCTAGCATCCCAGAAGCAGAGAAAGACAATGCCAGGCAAAAGGAAAAGCAAAAGAGGTCCGCAACTGAGTCCTCACCTGGGATTGTGCTGCTTTCCGTCACAGCATCAAGTTTTTTTCAGTACTGGGAATTGAGGGATTGAACGCCGGCCCTTGACGCTGAGCTACAACCCCTGCAATGCCCCCACCCCCTTTTTGTGATAAGATCTCAATAAGTTGCCTAGTTGCCCAAGCTGGACTGGTGTGGACTGGTACTTGCAACCCTCCTGCCTCAGCCTCCGAGAGTAATGGGATTCCAGGCCTGTGCTAAATGCCTGGCTGTTTCTATTTTCCTAATAAAGAAGTTTTGTGAGCTCCTTGAAAGGTGAACTTGCTGTTCATCCACTTCCTGTTCAACCCCTGGGTGGGCAATACATGTTGGTGTGTGTCAGCTCTGAGGGTGTGTCAGGAGTCACCTTCACACACTCTGAGGAACAAATATGCTGTTAGGACAGTCTGCAAAGATCCATGAAATGGGTCAAATCTTGTGGGAAAGCAAAGTTTGCCTGAGAAATGCTCAGTGGTTTGGTTAGAACACTCAGGCGATACTTATTCATCTGCTGTGATCCAAAGCTCACCTGCCTGGGTTTAAATCCAGGTATAGCCCTACTTTAGCTGTGTGACATTGACAAGCTTACTTGACCTCTCTGAGCCTTGGTTTCCTCATCTACAAAAGTGGAGTAGGTGTGGACATATGTGACACAATAAAGTTGGGACAGAATACATGAAAACGGCAGCTATGCATCTTGCGGGTGTGCCCAGGAACATACCTAGTACTTGTGGTTACAGAAAGACAGAGGGCAGTTTCCATGCTGTGTGGGAATTCATGCCTGATGTGGCCATAAGGGAAGACACAGAAGTGACCAGGAAAGGTACTGTGAGGGAGCAGTGGTGTCGATCGGCTACAGGGAACGGGCGCAGGTGTTGTTTGTGATGGAGAACAGAAGATTCCTGGAGAATGGAAGATTTCAGCTGGCTTTATGCTCAGACTCAGATTCAGGTTCAGAATGTGAGCTGTGTGCACCCACAGTCCCCTGACGTCCAAACTTCACCCTGAACTTCTCTCTTCACCCCCATGCGCCTATAAAAAAGACCTGGGCTGAACCCTAGTGAGAACTTGGTACGAATGAGGCTATGTATAGTCTTTATTATTTCATGTGACGATTACTCTGTAAAAACTGTAAGGTGTTTAATTACAGCTTGCTGTCTTAGACTCCTTTGGTGGGACACACCAGTGTCTATTGCTATGTAAAAAACTACCCCGATCTCATTGTTTAAACAAGCCATGACCATTGAGCATGTGTGTTTGTTACTTTCTTGTTGCTAGGACAAAATACCTGCTGTCTGTGATTAAAGGCGGAGGGTGTATTTGGCCCACGGGTTTGGAGGTTTCAGTCCGTGGTGAGAGGGTGCCAAGGCAGAAACGGCATCATGGCGGGGGCTGGTGGAGGAAAGCCACTCGCCCCATGGAAGCCGGCAGCAGAGAAAGGGAAGAGAGTGAACATAGGAGCGACTCCTTCCAGGTCATGTCTCTAGTGACGACATCCCACGACCAGTGAATGAGTCCGCTGGTGAGGACAGCGCTCCCGTGACCCAGTCACCTCCTGCCTGACACGTGGGGCTTAGCGGGGACACTTTAGATCTAACGGTAACACTGCATCTCATGTTTCATGAGCTAATGGATTCGGCTGGGCAGTTTGGTCCCACCTGGCGCCAGCTGCAGGTTGCGCGCCCGGCGTGTCCTGTTTGCTGGCGGTCAGGGTTAGCGCATGGGCCTGGCAGTTGTCCTTGGCTGCCAGCTAGGGCGTAACTGAGGCTTTGGTTGAGATTTCTGTTGCTTTCCACAGCTGCCCCATGGGACTCATTTGGACATCTCCAGCAAGACAGTTGGATTGGGAGGGTGGGAGCCATACTCCCTCTGTAGAAGATTGCAGCTTTGTTTACAATCATCCCAAATACAAAGCGACCATGGTAGCAGGTGATTGGGTGAAAAAAAGTGTGGTATATAAAAATGGGCAAAAACTGTGGACATGTGCTATCACGACAAAAACATGGAAAAAATTAAGCACATAATAAGTGCAAGAAACTAATCAGAAAAGACTGCATACTGTGTGATTTCAAGTATGTAACTGTCTGGAAAAGGTGACAGTGCAGACAGTGGAAAGATTAGTGGTTGCTGAGATCTAGGGGGAGGAGGAAGAAGGATGCATAACATAGTCGGTATGATACCATCATGAGGTGCTTGTCTGAAGCCACAGAATGACCAACACCGTGAGTAGCCCTTAACATCAATCATGGTCTCAGAGCAGTAATGGTGTGTCTCTGGCAGCTGATCAGCTATTACCAGTGCACCATGCTGCTGGAGATGTTGATAGTGGGGGAAGGCTCTATGTGCACAAGGTTGGAGAGTGTATCAGAGATCCATCCTGTACCTGCCTCTGCATTCCGCCATGGATGGATCCATGGATGGATCCACAGGAGAACTATTCTGTACCTGCCTCTCCATTTCACCATGAATTTAAAACTGCTAAAACGAAGAGGTTTAAAAAAAGGTTGAAGAAAAATGGTAGCTCTCCTCAGGCTCAGTCCCAAAGGTCGCAGTGTCACTGGTGCCAGAACAAGTCTCAAGAGCAAAGGAAATAGAATCTGCCTCTCAGTAGGAGAAGGAGCAAAACATTTGTTGTGGCTGCTTTTCTCCAACATCAGACATTAGAAGTCACTGTTTTAGGTACCACGTTACCTTTGGGAAGTTAGACACATCTCCAGCTCCAGACTTTCAGGAAGGTAATGCCTGTGCCCCAAAGACATAGCATCCTATGTGGGTGAAAGATGGCTGGGAGGTTCATACACTACTTATCTTTTACACATTTTTAGGTTAATATGCAAAATTATGTCAATTTACATAATTGCAGCAACACAATTTTTAAGGTTCTATAAACATTAGAAATTTTATATAAAATCTTTATATTTTCTTTTTAAATATGTGCAATAAATTCCAAATTCCAAAGTAATTTGTTATCCTCCATCAACTATTTTTAACCTACATGAACAAACTCTTCTTTTACAAAAGTTTTACATGATTTCTCTTACTTGTTAAATTTGCATTTCCATTATACTCCTCTACGGTATAAATATGGGTATGTGTTTAAATTTAATTTTCTAAAATATCATGTAATATTTAAAATATCCTCCTCAACAGTTTGAATAATTACTTCTGCATTTAGTTATCATTAAAATAATTACCACTGCATAATGGAACAAAAATGAAAATGTCTCACAAATTTTTGTAAGTATGAGAAAGAACATAGCATTTTATTTAAAAAAATATCTTCAGTGAGATGGATGATTTTGTTCTTTATTTCTTTTTTCCCTTTTTATTCCTTATTTTTTTTCTCTCTTTTACCTCATATATCCCTAGATGAATATCAGTGCTACAATGAAAAGGGATTCAGCATCAATTCTATTCCTATTTTTCAGTTTTAGACATTCAAGCACTTAGAAAATTCATGTACATAAATAGCTGGAAATAGAATCAAATTCTAATAACATTGTCACTCAATTCTTTGAAATTTTTTCAAAATATACTCCAAAAATCATACTATAATCTGTCACCAAAAATCACTTTAATGATCTATGCCCTGACAATTCAATTAAGCCCTCCTTCAATTTTGTTGAAAATGAAACAAGACAAACCAGGAAGCAATATGACAGTATGACCAGAACAGACTTCTCCGGCTTTTGAGAAGCATGCCTCTCAGGGATGAGCAAGGCGCAGGGAGAGATGGGCTGTCCTTCATGAAAATGGCCTTGGCCCCTCTAAGAAGCCAGTGGCTGCCTGGGGGAATGGAAGGCATGGGAAGGGATTAGGAGGATGGAAGTGAAGCCTGTAGTCTCTGATGATGTGACCTTGCTCCACACCAGGACAAACAGCTAGATGTCTGCACCTTACTACAAGTGACAGTGAATCTCTGGCTGAACAGCAATTATGCAGAACTTTCTGGGGAGATGGATGAGCAGGTTGTGGATAGAAGTGCAGAATCTGTTAATGTAATTTATTTCCCTTTAAAAAGGCTATAAAATTATAATAAAAAGCTTTAGGTAATTAGACTAAATATTTTACATAGGCCAAAGACTGTTAAATGAGATTTCAGGCACTGGCTGTTGGGAGAAGAATGACTGCTTCTGAGTGAATGAGGGGAGGAATGAATGAATGGAGGAAGGAACGAAATCATTGGAAAACGTCCCAGCGCTTTCCAGCGGTATAAGTTCCTTAGATCATCAGGTTTGATATTATTATGGTAGCTCAGAGAAATAGTGGGTACTGTACATGGTGCTATATTTATCCACAACCACAAATTGTGGTTAGAGACTGAAGTTCTCCAAGTGGGGCCAGCGGTATTTAATGAATATTAATTAGCAAGTGTTACACAACAATGCTCTGAGAACTAGAATACAAATTATTCATGTTGAAAGATGAAGTCAGGATGTTAATAATTCAATGCTGTGCTCAGAAGTTACACCTTGAATTTTAAAACACAATTGACAACACTGACATAAAAAGAAGGCTGGTGTTTCAAACTATACAGACAAAAATTAGAAAACTTACCACCCCATAGGCTATTTATGGCGGAAAAGGCTAACTCTCCACCCCAAATGGCTCTCTTTCCTCCACAATAGAGATTCTGGGTTGAAGCTCACTCCACTTAGTACATCTTCTAGCTCAACTTTATATCTGGTTCTGGCCATAAACTATTTCTGCCCAACGAGATATGAATGGAAGTGGGGACACGATTTCCAGTGTGGGGTATTTAGGAAGCAAGTGAGCCTTCTCCACTGTCTGCTGCTCTTCTGTTGACAGGACACAAAGCACTTCAAGGCTTCTCTCCCAAACACCCAGAGGACTGTCAGCGCACAAGGAAGGGTTAGCTGGGATCTCTGAATCACAAGTTGCAAGAAAACTGCCTACTGAATGGCAGCTTTTTATTGCTGTCACATGGATCCCAATAACAAAATATACACAATCAGAATGTTGCGCTTGTTACAGCAGCTAGCATTGCCCTAGCCAAGCAGAGGTATAGACTGAAAACATTCACAGACCGGAAATGATTTAAGGTTTATGTTTTATATTTAAGGAAATATAAACACATTTAAGTAAACTTGAGGTATATGTGTGCCTAAATGTTCCTGCTGACATCAGGCAAATGTGAATATGTATCTTTTCCTATCAGGGATTCATTCAAAAATCCTAACTTTTCCAAACACCTGCAACGCAAAATGTTTGAAACATACAACTACGTATTCTAGCATACTATGACTAGTTCCTTGGAAAATATCATTCCAACGTGTATCAAACAAACCAACAAAAGCTGCACATTATTAAAATGATCGAGAGTTAGCAGTGAAGCCAGAGGAATGGTTTGGGTGTGCTTCATGCAGTTGCTTTAGCCATGGCATCTGTTAATCGCCCCCAGGCAGCGCTGCCCTGGCAAACATGTCCACAGTTGGCAGCAGGGGATCCTGACAGGCCAGAGCCCTCTGCCCATCCATCTTCATTCGGCTTCCTCCCAAAGGCCAAGGTTATTGATGCTCTAACAAGAGCACTGACAGGCTGCATCCAACTTCTCTAGAGCCCAGTGATCACAGGAGGACCACCGCTTCCATGAACTCATACAGATGGCTTTGAACACATAAGGCATTCTTCTTAAAGAGGAAACTGTCAAAGTCTTAATATTTGTGTGGTGGTGGTAAAAATATAAATAGAATAAAGACTATCAATCAGTCAAAACCCCTCAAAAAACTAACATATAAAGTGCCAGGGAAATCAAATCTCTTCTGAATCAATTAGGTTAAATATTGGATTCTAAATTTACAGATATTCAGCTAAGAAATCCTCTGAATTTTGCTTCATCTTTGGAAAAGTCAGATTTAATCATTCCCTGAGAAAGTCAAATGTGACATACATTACAGTTACATAAAGTTCAAGTGAGTTCTAATGACCAAGACCCTGCTAAACTTAAATCATTATAGTCAAACCATGCTACTGCAGTCTACACCATTATTTCAACTTTGGGTCTATAATGCAGATGTTTTGCTTGTGTGGTGTCAACCTTTCATTGTTCAGATTATTTAAACATCAGCACAACCCCCTGACTATTTTAACCTGGTACTTTGTCAGTTCAACATCACTTGACTTTTGTAATGTGAGTAGTGGGTTAATACAGAATTGAGTGATTGCAGAATCGGTCACCATATGTTGCTGTAGCATCCAGAAACTCCAAGTTTCTAGTTTATTTCTCATGCACATTCTCTTTTCTGTGGGCTGGCTTTATGGATCTTCCTTCTAGGAGCAAAGGCAAAGGAGGAGCCCCCACCTGGGCATGGCCCGGTCACGGCCAAAGGCAAAGGTCAGGAGAGGTAAGCTGAATGCCTAGAGGTACTGAAAACCTCCAGTCAGAAGCCACCAATATATCCTGTCCTGTCTGTTGGCCCAAACAAGTGACTTGGTCAAGTCCGAAGTGCGGGGGATAAAGCAGCTGTAATCCTCTTATAGGAAGAGGAAGCAGATAGTTACCGAAAGCTACTCCAGTCCACCCCTTGGCCACACGTACTGATTTTTCTCCTTCTTTATGTGACACCCATCACCCTCTTGTGCAGGAGATTGCTCCCTAATAGTTGTCAATCAGAGTCCAGGGTTTCCCATGGATCAAAAGTCCTACCGAAAACAAGCACAAAAGTAATAACTGAAATGAGCTTTGGAGAAGTGTGGCCCAGTAAGCACAGGCTTTTGTTAAGGGGAGGGACGGCAGGAGCCACCTACCAGTCACACAAGTCCTGCTGGGTGCAATGGCCAGTTTCCCTGCCTTGAGGGAGGGTGTTCTTTATTCTCTTACAGGACTCGTTGAGGCTTACAACAGGTTGGAACTCTACAACTGCCCCTCTCAAAGCTGTCAGAGTGCATATGTGTTCTTTCACAAGTTTTTCTGACTGTTTTTCAAAACTCTCACTGTCACTTTGCGGTATTTCCACAGTAGTGGCTGGGTATGGTACGCTGAAGATTTCTTTCACTTGCTAATGTTGTGACTGATGCAGGTTCCCAAAGAGTGACACATGATGTGTAGCATAATTATCTAGTTATGTAACTTTAAATTCCCAAGGTGAAAATTCATGATCATCTCCCAGCAATGATTAATGACTTTTACTTTGCATTTTAATATTTCAGTCTTAAGGCAGAGACTAATTTTCTAGTGTGCCTCCCTTGCCATTTGCACAGGGATGGGGATCAAGATGCAGCCCATGCCTAACCCGAGAGAAGACTGGCACTTTGGGGACATGGTCCAGGGCAGGGACAGGAGACAAAGGCTCTCCTCACTGCTGAGGCAAAGTTAGAATTCCAGAATCAAGGCAGTCAGATGAAAAGATAGAATTGATTGAGACGGGAAAATTCTTTTTATATTTTGTTTTCTTTTTGCCAACTTTTTACGCTTGCTTTGTTTCAGTAGGCAGCCATGAGAAAACCCTGAAGGCAGATATAATATTGGTTCAGAATCCAGATAATAAAAGAGGCATAAGACCAAGGATGTGTAGCTAGAACTTTCTCAGGTAGATCATAAAGGGCAGAGGTATCACAAAATGTGGGTCTACTGGCGGGAGTCCCTCTTTTGCCTTTTCCCCATGTCTGAAGGTAAATAAAAGTAGGCACTAGTAAAGATGGATTGAAGCTAGTGTGAGAGCCTGATGTTGTCATAAATCCAAAATCCCGAGTGCAGGGCTGGGGATGTAGCTCAGAGGCATAAGTGCCTGCCTGGCAAGCACAAGGTCCTGAGTTCAATTCCCAGTACCAAAAAACCCCACCAAAACACAACAACAAAAAAACCCCACAAAATCCCAAGTGCAGATCTCCCACCTAGCTCCTCTTGTTTGTACCTTGGGTATTTTTTCCTTAGAGAAGGTGTTCTTCCCCATAATCACCCACCCCATTTTCCATCACCCCACAAAGCTCTCTCGTCCTTCCAGACAAATCCATGAGTCTTGGAGTCCCAGGGGATTAAATCATCTTAAGGCCGATTATCCTCTCCCGTGGCAGTCAGGGTGAGAGCCACTTGAAAATCTACAGTTAAAATCACACAGTCCTGTCTGATGACTGCTTTTAGGAAATCAACTGTACAATGTTCCCTATTCTTCTGCAGAGCCACTCTCTCACTCTTGCCCTTTGCAGTGTTAAACCTTAAAGGTGACATTTCCAGGGTTCCTGTTTGGTCAATAGTTTTATGGCCAAAAGTATTAATATGCTAACTTGACCTTAGTGTTAAATAATGTTTTCATTTTAAAGGGGAATGAGTTTTGTGCCACAATGTAATTTAAAACTCATGTTTAAGAGGACTCAGATATTCTGTAGTCAGGAATTTATTCTCCAGGGAACATGCATGTCAAAACTGATTTATTAGCTCCTACATCATAAATCCATCCATCCATCCATCCACCCACCCACCCATCCATCTAGGCACAAATATTATTTAGTACTAAATATGGGCTTGGCACAGTTTTCAGAACAAAACCAAGAAATGTCCCTGATGATCTTATTGCTTATGAAAAGGGTGTGGTGGTTAAGCTTAATTGTGTCAACTTGATGGGCTTGGGAGCTGCCCACGGGATTAGAAAAGCACTATTTTGAATATGTCTGGGTGAGTCACAGAGGCACAATTTTAGGTACTATATTTTCTCCCTGGCCTCTTCCTCTTTAGCTTGCTTTTCCCTCGCTCTGCTTCCTGAATATCTTGAACTGAGCGTATTGGTCTGCCACACCCTTCCACCGCACTATTTCTGCCTTGGAACCAGCTTAACGTGGACTGAATCCCCTGAAATCGTAAGCAAAATAAAACCTTTCCTCTTTTAAATTGCAAGTGTCAAGTAGTGTGTCTCAGCAGTGGGAAACCTGGCTGATATATGAGGAGAATGATAATAGCCACAATAAAAGTGTAATCAAATGGTCCCCCACATATGCAACTGTGCTTACAATTCTATGGATTTGATGATGTTCAAAGGCAGTGCACAATCAATAGACACTGTGTCCTTCGAGTTTTGCATTTAAGTCTTACCCCGGGCTAGTGATATGTGGTCCATGTTTTCTGAAGGCATTGGGCAGTGACACTGAGCCACAGCTCCCAGTTATCCCCACAATTAAACACCCCTGCTGTTGACCTCTTGAGATTCTTTTTTTTTTTTTTTTTTTTTTTGGTTTTTCTCCGGTACCAGGAACCGAACTCACGACCTTGCGCATGCCAGGCAGGCGCTTTTGCCGCTGAGCTAAATCCCCAGCCCCGACCTCTTGAGATTCTTGATCAGTTTCAAATACACTACTCTCATAGCTTACTGGGTCCTGCCAATTCTACAAGCTGCTCCCTCCTCAAGTTCTGAAAGGGAATTCCGAGCAACTCTAAAATCCACATTCAAGTCCGTCCTCTCCACATTTGCAGGGCAGCATCACTTCTTAACCTTTGAGAGAATTATAATGATAACATTTGAGACATATTTTAAGACAACTGCAGATTCACTGGAAGTTGTAAGAAAATCTTCAGAGACATTCCAAATATCATCTATGCATTCTTTTACAGTAGTAACATCTTGCATTAAAAGTAGCTTTTTTCCAGTATAGGGTCTTGAACCTAGGGTCTTCCTACCGAGCCTCATGTCTAGCCCTTCACATCCCTTTTGAAACAGGGCCTCACTATTAGTCAAGACATGGGGAAATATCATCTTTTCTGTAACAGCTTGATCATTTTATTTACATTTTCTTTCTTTTTTTCTTTCTTTTTCTTTTCTTTTCTTTTTTTTTTTTTTTTTGGTCTTTTTGAGACAGGCTCTTGCTATGCAATTCAGGCTGGCCTTGAGTTCACTTTGTAGCCCAGGCTGGTCTTGAACTTGCAATGATCCTCCTGCCTCAGCCTCCCAAGTGCTGGGATTACAGGCGTGTGCCACCACGGGTGGCATCATTTACATTTTAAAGATGTAGATAAGTAAGCCTTTTTATTGAGGCTTTGGCCTGCTGATGTTAGAATTTGAACTACTACAATTGCTTTCTGTAGCAATTTAAAAATGTCAGTCCTTCCTTTCTTCTGAGATCTTCTTCCAAACTTTTACTCCACAAAAGCTGCTCTTGCTGAGGTTGCCAGTGACCTTGATGTGGTGAGATCAATGGACAATCTGCACTTAGCTGACTTCTCAGCAGCATCCATGGAACTGATTTTCCCTCTTCCAGAAACTGTTCCTGCTCCACGCTTCAGGCGCACAGCTCCTGGCTCTCCTCGTCTTCCACACTCCTTGATCCATTGCTGGTCTCTTCTCCCCCTGGGCTCTGAGTCCAGGGTCTCACTCCTTGCACTCTGCCATTCTTACACACAAATTTTCACACAGATTCATCACCAGTGAAGTGAGACCTCCAAACCCTTCTCTGGAATTCAGACCTGTTCATTGAACTCCAGCCTGAGCAGGACCTCATACCATTACCTTCGCACTAGTAGAATCTCATTTCCTAAACCCAGGCTACAACCAAATAGTATTATCAAGAGAAGGACAATTATATTCAGGAGTAATTACTTGACCCATTTGCTAATTTTTCCCTGAGAACTGCTGCAAGGTTTCCGCTTTTGTTTTTAGATTTTTTTCTTCTGCTTTGAGAATTTGTGGAAACAATTTTAAAGGCACATTTCCTCTACTCCAATGTGAAGTATGTCTTTTACAATTCAATTTTCTGTTTGTATGATTTTTACTTGTCTGCAGCTTTTGACATTCTGATTTCATTTTTATTTAAAAATATCTCAAAAATCTAATCAATTTATGAAATTCTGTGAAAGCTGTCCAATTTTTTCACCCGTATTCTTTTGCACTGAAATGAGGATAAAATTCCACATACCTGTATGATATATATATTATTTCTGTGTCAATACTCCAACCAGACTCTGTAAATTGATGGCTTACATTATTAGTGCCACAGTATGATCTGAAAAACACCAAAGGGAAAATCTAATTTGTGCACACTGCTCAGGGCCCCTGTAATTCTGTCTGGCACTACTGCCCGTATGGGGAAGCCAGTTCTCTGATATTTCTGATTAACTGGGAACAGTAGTTTTTTTCTTCCTAGTTGGGATAACTTGGGTATAGTAGTGTAGCTTAACCTAGATAAAAACACTTTCTTTGGAAGTTAAAAATAGCCCTAAATATGAGGAATTTGATCTGGTTTAACTCAGTTGTATCGGAAACTCAATATAAGGAATGGTGAAATTGCTAAGCAGCAGAACAACCCAGAAAGGGATGATTTTAAAGGGGAGGAGTCTAAAAAGTAAAAGTAAATAATGAAAAAGATAAACAGTACAATAGAAAACAACATGAAAAACACAAGTTTTCCTCCACGAAGGGGAGCAATTAATGGAACACCCCAGCCTTGAGAGGAGCTCCTCCAGGCTTAAAGCATACTTGGTCCCCAGGTGGGAGTCCTCTTAGCCAGGACTGTGCAGAGCAGCCCTGATCATGCATTACAGACAGGAAGAGGAAGTCATCCTCCCTTGAACATCTCTGTAGACCTGTGCATTGGGGAAAATGGGCTGAAAACTCTAGACCCACAGCAACCCAATTGGAGAAGGCAGTATAGCTGTCCTTGTAGCGTTGTTCTTTTGTACTGAACATAGAAATAGTATCATTGTTTGGATTTAAAATGTTGCCCAAAGGCAAGCTGATGGGGTTTCTGGAAGTGATCAGATCCCAAGGGCACCAGCTTCATCAGTGGATCAGCCCATGGATGAATTCATAGTTGAATGTACTGTTCAGAGGTAGAGGCTCTTTGGAGGAAGTCCAAGGTCATGACCCGGAAGGGTTTCCCTTCTACTCCACCTCTGTCTATTTCTCGCTGTTTCCTGGCTGCCCTGAGGTAAGCAACTGTGCTCTTCAGTGGCTGACCATCATGGCCTCTGCCTCCCATGAGCCCAGAAACAGCAGAGTTGAGTGTCCATGGGCAGAAACCTCAGCAACCATGATCCAAAATGGATTGTTCCTCCTTTAAACTGTTGTTCCTAGGTATTTTGTCACTGTGACAGAAATTTGACTAATACGGATAGCACATGCTTAATGTGAGACCTTAGAAAACAGAGAAATCGTAATTAAGAATGGGACAACCACTCTTCTATACACTCTGCTGGTGGTTTTTAAAGGTATATATATTATGATTATATCCCTTAAATTTTAACACTTGTGCTGAGTGCCTACATCATAACATAATATCTAATAAACAATCTCTACGTCACGAAAAATTTCTCCGTGTATTGTAAAAGGGAAGGAGAAGGAGTAAGATTTAAGTGACTTCATTCTATTTATGTAATGGCTAGAATAAAATTTCTTTGATTATTCTCTATTATGAGATAGAGCATCCCAGCAGCAACTTCCATCCCAGCTTTTGGAAACCTCCTTTATTATTTCCTTGAATTAATTTTGAGTGAAATGATAGGCACATTTTACAAGCTTACACTAAGTATTTCTTTTCTTCACATTTGTACAAATTCATATGCCTATCAGTCAGACAAATTACAGGACAAAATTATGTATTCTCTATCAGTTTGGTAGATGAAAGTGATAACTTGTTATTTTAACTTCTACTGTTTTAAACAAAGTTAAATTTTAGGTTTGATATCTATTTCCTTTCTCCTTTTATGAGGTGCCCTTCACTTGCCTTTTGTTTGGGACCTTCTTTCTCTTAGGCATTCTGTGTATTTACCATCATCCAGATGGGCCATATCTTGGCAGAGTAAAGGATGGACAGTGGACCCAGCCTGGTTGATGAGAATTAGCTGGCTATGAAGCATCTCACTGAGGTTATTTCTGGGAATTCTCCAAGGTGTTCTCTGCATCAGTCAAGCAGCCCAGTCAGGTGAGCTTCCAGACCTTCTGTCTATCTCACTCTGGGTCCCACTTGTCCGTCCTGCTATCAAGACACAATATTGGAAAGCCACACTATTGCCACTGGTGATCGGGTAATCAGGAATCATCAACAGAGACACTGTTTTTATGTGTGCAGGAAAACACAGGTGTCTGTCCTATCAGTTCTTCAATGCACAGACTTAGGTGTAAGAATTTTTTAAATCTCCAGGCTTCTAGACAGGGCACTGCAATTTTATTCCCAGTCAGATTCCCTGGACCTAGACATAACTCTCTTAGAGCTTGTGAATCTCATGAAATCTCTCATGAACAGGCTGTACCTTCTGGTCTCTTACATAAAACACAGGACCCCAAATGAGCCCTCTTTCTCTGGCCTTTGCTTGATTCAGGCTTGGCCTCCATTTCATATTTGGTAGCTTCTGGACATAGTGGAGAAGTTAACTAGGGGAGGGGGTTTTACTAAATTAAATTCATTTTGGATATAAGGAAATGCTGGTCTAATATAGTCCATTGGGGGTGTCCATTGTTTGGGAATTGAGAGAAAAATAAAATAGCAATGAAAGATCAGGTCACCCTAAAGATTCAAACAATAACAAATGTCCTAGGAATTCTGTCTTGGCAGTTTTACCACTTTTCTAGATAAAGAGGTTTAGAGGTAAACAGTATAGCTACACTATGTTTATACCTATAAAATCAATATAGACAGATTTTAGAAATTTATGCAGAATCTTATTACAAAGATATATATTATTAAAAAGACATAGGTAGTCAATTTTGTAATAGAATAAAGATTTCCCATTGTTATGGCTTGTGTCTAGATGCCCCCATCCTCATACATTCATAACTGGGGCTTTTGTGAAGTGGTTGGATTATGGGTGTGTGATGCTGGGATTAAGGGCAGGTGATACTGAATTAGTCCACTGTTTGGTTTAACATAGTTCTTGGTATGGCTGAATGAATTTACTAGAAACAAAAGCCCCACTCTGGGTGTGGGTAACACCAACCAATAGGGTTGTAGGATGGAAATAAAGGGGAAGGGAGGCTTCCTGCCATGGCTTTGCCACTTCTTGCCTGCCCTGCCATGGACTGTTTCTCCTGTGCCATGCCCCTGTGCCACGTGGCCCTGCTTTGGAGCAAGCTGACTATGGACTGAAACCTTTGCAAACTGTGAGCTAAAATAAACCTTTCCTCCTGTCAGACACTTTATCCCAGCAACAAGAAAGTAACTAACACAGCATTTCCCCCTACTTCTCTAGCAATAAAAAATCCTTGTCTGGACACAGTGCCATTCTAAAACTGAGTTCTTTTTTGAGTTGAACAGTGATCTATGAACCCTCTAATCTGTACCAGCCCTCCGTTTGCATTCCTTTGGCTGAAACAGATAAGATAATAAGAAATACTGAGCTAGAAAGACCCAAGAACCACCCAGGCATAGCAGAGCCACAAGAAAGAGGGATTCTGAGTGCTTGGTGATCTTATGGAACAGTCACTAGTTTAGCTGCGAAAAAAGTACAAGCTCCTCTTGTGCTTAGCCCATTGTGCATTTGGATGGCTACTGAATCTGCAGAACCAAATTTGGTACCTGGAAGCAGAATGTACATTGCACGTTGTATTTGTTAGAAACACTAGACCACATTAGGGAAGTGAGGGGAAGACTGGGAACAAGGGTGTGCTCTGGCTGACCTGGGGCCTCTGAGCTAAGTCCTCGGAAGGGAGTCAAGGTTTGAACTGGAGCCAGCTGGCTTTGTCACAAATGGGAGGAAATGTGCTCAGCTAGGTTGGGTTCCCTCAGGAAGAACCAGCTCATGGCTATCTTGGGACTTTGAAGTTTGATCAAAGTTTTTCTCTCCTCCCAAGGGAAACAATGATAAGGAATGGGTTGGCAGAAACCATGA